ATTGTCTTTCTTCAAGTTGGTGAGTGCTTTTTGTTCTTTGTCCAAGTTAAATGCACAATCACATCACCACCCTGCACAGATCAACTCCATAGCTAGGACTCTCATCTCCAGAACCAAATGCCTAGCTGACAAAGACCACCTGAAAACTGATTTACACACTCTCACAACCGTATTAATCTCTAACGGATTCCAAAGAAACACAATTACCAACCTAATCCAAAGGGAGACACCCCACAAGAACCAAGACACAGAACAGGACAACGGCATCGCCCTCCTTCCTTACATCAAAGGCACCACAGATAAAATCAGCAAAATTCTCCACAAACACAATATCAAGACAGCCTTCTGCACTGACCAAAATATAGCCAATATCTTAAGAAACCCCAAAGAAAAGATCCAGCTAGAAATCCAAGGAGGTCTATGAAATACCATGCAAAATCTGCCCAGCCACTTACATTGGACAAACTAATAGGAGAATAAATGTACGCATTGCAGAACACAAGAACGCAATCAGAGAAGAAGAAGAAACTTCCTCTCTTTTCCAGCACCTTAAAACAACAGAACATGAAATTGATTTTGAAGGAACCAAATTAATCTCCAAAACTGAACACTTCAACAAGAGAATAGTTGTGGAAGCCATCGAAATAGAAAAACACCCCCATAACATGAATAAACATGATGATACCTCCCGCCTACCAGACATCTGGAAACTAGCCCTTTTCAACAAATGAGTCCCAGCACCCACAGACAGAAAAATCTACACACCAGAAGCCAAACACACCCCCCCTGAGACCTCCAGCCAAAACATACCCCAGCCAGCCACAAAGATGAAGCCCTGCCACCTGGTGGAGAACAGCCGACCATACACCCAAAGCCAAGCCAATAGACACAGACTGGGACTCTCAACCAATCAGGATGAAGAGGTGAGGCCATCCCAACAAAGCATGCTGCCAGCACCAGATTTGAAACAGTAACGTCTGTTGCTGTTAAAGAACCCTTGCGCAGGCCTGATGATGGCAGATGAGATTCTGCCGAAACGTTGCCAAGATACTCTCAATGACTATACTTGTTATAACATAAATTTCTTTTTATACCTTAATACTTTAGCACAGATTAATTAACAGTAAATATATATGTATGCAAATACAAATATAGATAGATTTAAATATATAAATATAGATACATTTTATAATATACAAAGATTATTATCAAAGTTTAGCTCTTAACATCAATATTCCCTCACTCAATCACATTGGTTATAATCACTTGTTTCTTATAATTAATAAAATATCATTAATCTTATATTTCATAGAATTTCTATATTGTTTCACACTGTTTCGTTCTTTCATTCAGTCTTTTCTTATGTCAATATGATACAGTTTTGCATCAGTCTTACTTTCATCTTGTTTCTAATCTGTCATACAGTGCATTGGTAAATTCCACTAGATGGCGTCTCTTGTACTATCCAATAGCCCTTCTTTATTGGTGTTCTCAGTTATCTCGATTATACAGTTCTACAGTTATATACTTTATATAATTATAATATTATCCAAGTTCCAAAAGAAAGAAAGAAAAAATTCTGCTGATGTATATCAATGTTCATAACTCCTCCGGAGTCTCACTTTTAATCCATTTATGATATGTATCAAAGTTCTTGGTGTTCCTATTGAAACAACTAAGTTTCCCCGCTTCTTAATCACCACCGTTCACGTCAAATTCTCATTTGTCACCTGTCACCACTCCTTATAATCCTGTAAAGCTTCACTTTATTCCTTCACCAAGTTATTTAAATCTGAAATCCTAGGTTTTCACTTCCTTGCGCTGTCATCATTTAACTCCACAACTCTGCTCTATTCCGCTCTTTAGTCGCCGCTGCCTTCCAGACAAAAATCTGCCCTTTTCCTTAGAGCAGCGGTTCTCAACCTGGGGGTCGCGACCCCTTTGGGGGTCGAATGGCTATTTCACAGGGGTCGCCAAAGCACTCTCTCGCCCCCCCCCCCACGCCTTCACTCACCCTCACCCTCTGCCTCTGTTGGATCACCGGTTGCCATTCACTTACCCCGCCCACTCCCAATCTATTGCTGCCTCCGGAGTCCCAGCTGATGGCTAGAGGGAAAAAAAACTTTAAATTCTTGCCGCGGGGCTTCAAAGAGCCGCCTTACTCTCAGCTGTTTTGCGGAGGGCTCTGTTGCTAGCTAGCTGCAAAGAGGTAAATTCCTGGAGCAGATTTTTTTTCCCCTAGCTATGCTGAAAAAGCAAAATTGAAAGTAAGGAAGCAGCGTCTGCAACATGACAAAATGAGGCAGAGAGATTTCTTTTTCTTTTTCTTTTTCCTCACCAAAAAAGGTAGGTGCAAAACTGCAAACAATGGGAAATTTAGGGCAAAAGAGGAGGTTCAAGATTTTAAAACACAAAAGAAAAAAAGCTCTATTTAACTAGGGAATTGTAATAATTGAGATACTATTAATTGTATATTGTGTTGAAAGCAGAAATGGTTAAGTTGTAGTTTGGAGGAATATATGGGGGAAATTATTTGGTTTATTATTATTGGTAAATATAATTAATTGATTTGTAAGAAATTGGATTGCATGGAAATAATTGGAATATTCATGTTCATATTGATTAATATACAAGAAGGATAGTTATATAACTAATTGATTTATATTAAAATGTTGAATTTGTCTTAAACAAATCTATTACATAATTACATAATTAACCAATGTGAGGATGGATATAAAAATAGATGACAATGGGAAGGGGTATAATATAGAATAGAAGGGAAAAATTGAATTTGATTAAGATTAGAAATGAGGATGAAGGGTAATATTGGTGTTTTTAAAAAAATAGATGAGGAATAAATATGGCAAAAAGAAAATATAGAAATTGTAAATTTAATTGAAATAACTAAACACTGGTTAAATTTGTGAACCGGCCAAGTACTCTGTTCAAAGAAAATACATTGTATGTTTGTATGTGTGTTTCTAATTATTGCTATTTATTGCTATTTGTTCTCTTGTATTCTTTAAAGTTTAACAATTCATTCTTTATCTTAATATCTTTATATTTGTTTGGGGTTGGCTTTCTTCCCTTTCATCTTTTTTATTGTACAGCAATCTTTCTCCTCAAACCTACCACCTCTCTCTTTTCTTTCCTTCTTACTTTCTCTTCCCCCCTCTTCTTCTTCTTCCTACTTCCTCTTCCTTTCTCCTTCTCCTCCTCTCTTCCTCCCTCTCTTACTCTCACTCCTACTCTAATTTCCCTTCTCTTCCTTCATCCCTCTCTATTGCTGTATCCTTTTATGCATATGGACTACTCAGAGGGCTGAAAAAGTTATTTTTGACTGGTCCTCGCACTTTTGACCAGTCTTCGAATTTACGACTGTCGTCACATTTTACGTTTTTTGCCCTATCTTGTCATCGTGGTGAAGAGAAGCAGTTGTGAAATGAGTGACATGGTTGTTAAGAATGCTGCATGGGCATAAATGTGAGGATGGTCATAAGTGTGAGGACCAGTCAAAAGTGCAAGGACCTGTCAGAAATGACTTTTTTCAGCCCTCTGAGTAGTCCCTATACACATAGCCATGGCTACCCGGTCACATGACCAGCTAGCCACGTCCACCCAGTCACATGACCTCCAAGCCACGCACACAAAATAAGCCACACCCATAGAACCGGTAGTAAAAAAATTTAGAACCCACCCCTGGTTGGGGGTCACCACAACATGAGGAACTGTATTAAAGGGTCACGGCATTAGGAAGGTTGAGAACCACTGCCTTAGAGTCTATCTCTTTCCATTTCACCAATCCTCACCTCCTTTCTGGGGATATTTTGACCGCCGAGATCAGCTGCTGCTTTTTCACTTTTTGCTTCTTGCTCTTGCTGCTGTCACCGCTGGAATACGGCCGATTTCTTCTCCACTGGTTTTAGAGATTTCCTCCTATCCTTTCGGTGGATTACTTTCACCCTGACGTCTTCTGAATGTCCTTTTTATCCTGCCGATCTCTCCGGGATCGACTGTGCCCTTAAAGGGCTCCTGGCAGAGAAATTTTGGGTTATGGGTACGGAGCTCCCGTAATTTTTTAGTCCCCTCAGTATTATTTTCTAATAGTGCAGGTGAAATATGTTTGGATGTACTTATGTAAATTTTGAACTCTACAGAAGATATGACTTTTATAATTACAACGAATAATATTTTCTGTATCTTTGTAATATTTCCCTCATATATGAATTTGTTCTCTATATCCTACTGATATTTCCTCCTATAGGAATCTGCTTTGTTCCTCTAATATCTGACAACATTCCTTCATGGTTTAGCACCAGTTCTTCAAAGAAAAAATATTTTGTTTTTATTCAGCAATTTGGAGACTACATGACTTCTGGTGGTTCTGAGATGCTTACAGTTTAAAAAGATCAGTACAAAAACAAATTATAAATGACCTAAAGATCTAGAAAAACCAAAAGCCATCTAATCAGGGCTCAACCTCAATCTAACCAAAAGTCCTGGGGAAAGCCAGGTCTTCAATAGTTTTCAGAATGACATCAGAGTGCCAGCAATCTGGATCTCTGGGTGGTACCTTTCCAGAGGGTAGGCATCAGTTCCAAGAAGGCACCCTTCCTGGAGTCCCACTAGATGCCTTTAATTTATGGACCCAAAGTGTGCCCACTTGCCCAATCTCACCAGCATTCAAATTGCACTCAGAAGCCTATTACAAGTAGCCCATTGGGTTCACATGGGCATAATGATGCACGCAAATCACTATCTATCCTGGGCTGGGTATAATCTTTGAATGGTCTGCAAGACTTCCAGGTGTACAGTAGATGAGAATAGTCCATTTGTAAAGTGAATAATATATGAATGACTGTCTGAAGGGCATTCATCCAAGGATCACAATCAGTGACTATTGTATCATTCAGAATTTAGAATGTATGCATTAACTTCCACTTAAAACAAAATTAAAAAAATGAATCATCTTGATACATAATAACATTTTGTTCTCCCAGGTAAGATCCAAGCAGAAATTGCAAGAGAGATTGGTGATATTCAACCAAGGACTGACCACCGAGTCAAAATGCCTTACACCGATGCTGTAATTCATGAAATTCAAAGATTTGCTGATATTGTTCCCACCAATTTGCCACATGCAACCACCATGGATATAACTTTCAAAGGCTTCTTTATCCCCAAGGTGATTAATCAGAAACCACTGTGTTATATGAGATCGAGTCATTGGTGGGATTCAATTTTTTTCAAGTCATTTCTGACCGGTCCTCGCACTTTTGACCAGTCCTCTCACTTATGACCATCCTCACATTTATGCCCGTTGCAGCATTCTTAACTGTGTCACTCATTTCACAACTGCTTCTCTTCACCATGGTGACAAGATAGAGCAAGATAGGACTGTCCATGAGGACAGTCATAAATGCGAGGACCGGTCAAAAATAACTTTTTCAGAAATCACTTTTTCAGGTTGAAAGAAGTGATTTCTGACTGGTCCTTGAATTTATGACCAATCATCATTTATGCCTGTTGCAGCATTTTCATTTCATTTTATTAAATTTGTATACCGCCCTACTCCCGAAGGACTCAGGGCGGTGAACAGGCACAAAATAAAACACATAAATACAAAAGTTAAAACATGATTAAAACCCAATTAAATAATTTTTGCCCGAGACAATTTAAAACTCCCAATAATTTAAAACGAATTAAAATTTCAATTTAAAAATTTAAACGAAGGGGAGAAAATTAGGCCAGGCCGGCTTGCTGGAATAGGAGTGTCTTCAAAGCACGGCGGAAAGTGCGCAGATCTGGGATCCTCCGTATCTCCGGGGGGAGCTCATTCCAGATAGTAGGTGCCCCCACAGAGAAGGCCCTCCCCCTAGGGGCCGCCAGTCGACATTGTTTGGCTGACGGCACCTGGAGAAGCCCCTCTCTATGAGAGCGTACCGGCCGGTGGGAGGCTGTTTGTGGTAGTAGGCGGTCCCGTAAGTAGCCAGGTCCTAAGCCATGGAGTGCTCTAAAGGTGGTAACCAAAACCTTGAAGTGCACCTGGAAGACCACCGGAAGCCAGTGCAGCTTGCGCAGGAGAGGTGTCACACGGGAGCGCCATGTTGCTCCCATAACCACCCGCGCGGCCGCACTCTGTGCCAGTTGGAGCCTCCGGGTGCTCCTCAAGGGGAACCCCACGTAGAGAGCGTTACAATAGTCCAGGCAGGAGGTGATGAGGGCATGAGTGACTGTGTGTAGGGAGTCCCGATCCAGAAAGGGACGCAACTGGCGAATCAGGTGAACCTGATGAAAGATCCTCCCGGTCACGGCCGTCAAGTGCTCTTCTAAAGACAGCCGTGAGTCCAGGAGGACGCCCAAGTTGCGAGCCGTCTCCGTTCTTAACAACTGTGTCACTCATTTAACAACTGCAGTGCTTCATTTGACCAGGTGGGCGTGACCAGGTGGTCATATGACTGGGTGGGTGTGGCCAACTCGACATCACTTCTTTGCCCTAATGACAGTTTTCTGCAATGGTCATAAGTGTGAAAAACGGTCATAAGTCACTTTTTCCAGTGCCATTGAAACTGTTGTAAATCAAGGATTACATGTACAAAAATACAAAAAGCTTCATTGCTTGCAGAAATCTGCCCTAAATACCAGTCATTAGATTAGAAATACTTGCAAGCTGGAGTTACAAATCAGGCAGGATGCCAGAGCACCTTGAGGAATTAAAATAGTTAAAATGCAATGATAACTATCAGCAGCCAACTCTTGGTCATAAAGTGAAACCCTTTAGCAGAGAGGTCATTTAAGCTCTCCAGAAAGAGCACACCCAGGAGAAGCAATCCTTAGATCCATTTGCACCACTTAAAGATACCAGCTTGTCACACTCATCTCATAAGATAACCCAAGGAAATCATCCAGATTTAAGGAAAGATCACATGCCCCCCAGAAAGGAAGTAAAAAAATCAGTGCCAAGCTTGCATCCTGCCTCTTGGAAGTACACCCCAAAAAGGACAGTGCCAAGAACCACTAAACCAGTGAAGGAAAACCGCTTCCCCAGATAGAAAAAGCACTTGAGATAAGCCTAACTGCAAAGAAAGCAATTACACTAGAATGAAGCAAAGGAGCAAACAAGCTGTTGCTTGTTAAACCAATTACCAGAACAAATAGACACAGGAACTAGTCAGATTTCTGAAGCTGCTTCTTTTCAGGAACAGAGATTAATATTTTCCCTTCCAAACAAAGCAGAATAGGGAAAATTATCCCATTAATAAACATGGGATTAAACATCACCAAGCACAGAATTAAACTTCACCAAAAACCAGTTTTAGACCAGAAGTCAGAAAGGGTATGTAATCTTTCTAGCTAGTCAAGAAGCCTTGCTGAGTGGCACTCATCTTGGTTCCTTGTCATTAAAAGCTTCTGCTTCGTTATTCAATTATTTCTTCAAAGTGCTGATCATTGCATCCTGGCTGGAAGAACTCCAACACTTAAGAACTCCAACAGTATTGCTTAATGCATTGTAAGCCACCCTGAGTCTCCAGAGAAGGGCGGCATATAAATCAAAATTAAAAAAAAAAAAAACCAGGGAAGTATTTCCTCCCAACAGCAGTGTAAAAAGCTTAAAACAACCCTTCCCCTTTAAGAAAGTCAAGCAAAGAGGGGAAAAAAACTCCACAGTAAGTCAGTGGTGGGTTCCTCCCGGTTTGTTCCGGTTCGGCCGAGCCGGTAGCGGTGACGATATGATGTCACCGAACCAGTTCTCCCCCCCACCCTGCCCTCCCACCCCCCACCCACGTTATTCTTACCTTTTATTTGGTCCCACCCCCAATCTATTGCTGCATCCTGAGTCCCAGCTGATGGCTAGAGGAAAAAAAACTGTTTCAATTCTTGCCGCGGGGCTTCAAAGGGCCGCCCTATAGCCAGTGGTGGGATTCTGCCAGTTCTAGGAGCCGAACCGTTTATTAAATTGCTGGCTTGCCCTGCCCCTCTGCACCACTATTTATTGCCAATAAATAGTGGTGGGCAGGGGCGGGCGAGCCAGCAATTTAACAAATGGTTCGGTGTTTTTTTGTAATTTTATTGGCCCACAGAACTTCAGCATAGGCTAATTAGCCCTTGATTAGATCGGCTCCCGACTCTCAGCTGATTTGGTCTCAGCTGTTTTGCGGAGGGCTCTGCTGCTTGTTTGCAAAGAGTGCTGGAGCAATTTTTTTCCCCCTAGCTATGCTGAAAAACAAAACTGAAAGTAAAGCAGGCTGTTGGCTTTGCTGTTGCTGCAACGTTGGAAAATTAGGCAGGCAGATTTCTTTTCTTTTTCCTCACCAAAAAAGGTAGGTGCAAACAATAGGAAATTTAGGGAAAAAGAAGAGAGTTCAAGATTTTAAAACACAAAAGAAAAAAAGCTCTATTTAACTAGGGAATTGTAATAATTGAGATACTATTAATTGTATATTGTGTTGAAAGCAGAAATGGTTAAGTTGTGGTTTGGAGGAATATATGGGGGAAATTATTTGGTTTATTATTATTGGTAAATATAATTAATGGATTTGTAAGAAATTGGATTGCATGGAAATAATTGGAATATTCATGTTCATATTGATTAATATACAAAACGGTAGTTATATAACTAATTGATTTATATTAAAATGTTGAGTTTATATTAAACAACTGTAATATTACATAATTAACCAATGTGAGGATGGATATAAAAATAGATGACAATGGGAAGGGGTATAATATAGAATAGAAGGGAAAAATTGAATTTGATTAAGATTAGAGATGAGGATGAAGGGTATTGTTGGTTTTTTACAAAAATAGATGAGGAATAAATATGGCAAAAAGAAAATATAGAAATTGTAAATTTAATTGAAATGACTAAACACTGTTTAAATTTGTGAACCGGCCAAATACTCTGTTCAAAGAAAATACATTGTATGTTTGTATGTGTGTTTCTAATTATTGTTATTTATTCATATTTATTCTCTTTTATTCTTTAAAGTTTAACAATTCATTCTTTATCTTAATATCTTTATATTTGTTTGGGGTTGGCTTTCTTCCCTTTCATCTTTTTTATTGTACAGCAATCTTTCTCCTCAAACCTACCACCTCTTCTCTTTTCTTTCCTTCTTACTTTCTCTTCCTCCGCCTCTTCTCCTCCCTACTTCCTCTTCCTTTCTCCTTCTCCTCCTCTCTTCCTCCCTCTCTTACCCTCCCTCCTATTCTAATTTCCCTTCCCTTCCTTCATCCCTCTCTATTGCTGTATCCTTTTATGCATATGGACTACTCAGAGGGCTGAAAAAGTTATTTCTGACTGGTCCTCGCACTTTTGACCAGTCCTCGAATTTACGACTGTCCTCACATTTTACATTTTTGCCCTATCTTGTCACCATGGTGAAGAGAAGCAGTTGTGAAATGAGTGACATGGTTGTTAAGAATGCTACAATGGGCATAAATGATGACCAGTCATAAGTGCGAAGACCAGCCAAAAGTGCAAGGAGCTGTCAGAAATCACTTTTTTCAGCCCTCTGAGTAGTCCTTTTGTGCATATGGACTACTCAGAGAGCTGAAAAAGTTATTTTTGACTGGTCCTCGCACTTTTGACCAGTCCTCGAATTTACGACTGTCCTCACATTTTACGTTTTTGCCCTATCTTGTCACCATGGTGAAGAGAAGCAGTTGTGAAATGAGTGACATGGCTGTTAAGAATGCTGCACGGGCATAAATGTGAGGATGGTCATAAGTGTGAGGACCAGTCAAAAGTGCGAGGACCTGTCAGAAATGACTTTTTTCAGCCCTCTGAGTAGTCCCTATACACATAGCCATGGCCACCCGGTCACATGACCAGCTAGCCATGCCCACCCGGTCACATGACCTCCAAGCCACACCCATAAAATAAGCCACGCCCACAGAACCGGTAGTAAAAAAAAATAGAACCCACCCCTGCAATAAGTCTAGGCGTACTGCCAAGCATGTAATAAGGGTCAACAGAGAGACAGTTTCTGTTAGCAAGGCAATAAAGATTAGACTAGAAACAACACCAGAATGTTGTAATTCCTTACACGGTTAACCCTGTAAAGTGGCGGGGGAGGGGGGGAGACTTCTTCTAACAACTTCTCCAGTTCTCTGAACTGCTTAATTACTTAATTAATGGAATTGGCTAAACCAATAATAAGGCTACAGTCTGTTATCTTATTAGAACACTTTCCATAGATGCATCTCTCAAGTGTCAATAGGAGGTTGGTTTTTTTTGTTTTTGTTTTTTTGCATCTGGCATTCTGAAACTGCCCCACCTCTTGATTCATAAGAGGTACTTTCCTCTCTTGCTCTATTCTTTTATTTCTTCCTCGTCTTGGTTTATTGCTTTATTTCCCCTCCTTGTCTTCAGTAAGCCTTTATTATTTTTTGGGTCCTACATTTTCTTGATATTTGTTTCTTATTTTTATTTCCAAAACTAAAAAGTAAAAGTATATAATGTGCATATTCAAAATCCTTGATTTATTATTGTTTTCATTTTTAATATAATCCAAATTTCTTTTATAGCCAGACATTGACAAGAAAACATTGGCAATGCCTCTCAAGGACAAAAAAAGTAGATGTTCCATGACAAAATGACCATAAAAAAAAAATGAAGATATTTCCCACAATAGAGAGCAAATAGAAATGGAAAATCCCCATTTATTTAAAAAGAAAAAGAAAAAAGATCAAAGATATATAAAAAAAGAAAAATGAAACAGTTAAGAACTAGTAAAATACAAAATTCTTGGCAGTAGAAATCTGATGCAAATATAAATCAAATCAAATCAATAGTGAAATTATCAAGGAGAATGTCTTTTTACGATAGGTTGCCATGCAGCAAAAGCGAAATTGTTTGATAACTCCAAAGCAAAGCAGTAAAAAGAAATAAAAAGTTCACATTTATAGCCCAGCAAGGGGTACATAAAATAAATCAGTGTTCAACCAGACAGTTAATTGAAAATGTAAATCAAATGCAAAAAGGTGATGCTTAAAAACCAAAGTGTATCTAAAGAGTACACTGACAGGAAAAGATTGAGATGGAGATATAGTTTTAATATATTTTTTAAATTGAATATTGCTCCAAGCCCAATACTTTTTTCTCAATAGACACGTTACAAAATTCCCAGATTAATTTCCATAGCCATGCATTAAATGGACATACTCCTTTTCATATATTGTTTTTATCCATTCCATTTTTAGGGAATGTACATAATTCCATTGCTGACTTCTGTTCTCCATGATGAATCTCAGTGGGAGAAACCTCATGAATTCTATCCTGAGCATTTTCTTGACTTTGAAGGAAAATTTGTGAAGAGGGATGCATTCATGCCATTTTCTGCTGGTAAGATTCTCTGATGTCATAGATTATGTTCCATAAATGGCAACCAGTGGTGGGTTGCCCCCGGTTCGGACTGGTTCACAAGAACTGGTAGTAAAACCGGTGGGAGGCCCCGCCCACCGCCCCGGATGTTGTCATCGGCGATCTGCACATGTGCAGAAGCAAGATGTGTGAGCGAAGCAAGTGCATGCACATGATCCTGTTACAAACTGGTAGTAAAGGTAAGTAGAACCCACCCCTGAAGGCAACCCTTAACACCTTGTTTGAAAAGAAAACAATTTATACAATGTTGATCTCATAGACCTTACAGTATTTTGACAAAGTTTGGGCCTCATGGACAACATGTGTGGCCAGGCTCATTCAGGGACTAGTTCAGGGTCTACAACCTTAAACACTCAAAGAGCCATTTGGACCCATTTCCCACAGAAAAGAAAACACCGGGAGCCACAAAACCTGGGTAGGCGTGGCCAGCTCGATGTCACTCACTCCCACCCAGTCACATGACCCCCTAGCCATGCCTACTTAACTGATCATTAGGGCAGAGAACACTTGTTAAAAAACACTGGAAGCCACAAAACCCTTTTGACACCTCTCTCTCTTTCTCTCTCCCCTCTCTCTGCATCTCTCTCTCTCTCTCTCTCTCTCTTTTCCCCTCCCTCTCCCCCCTCTGTATCTCTCTCTGTGTGTATTTCTCTCTCTTCCTCTCTATCTCCCCATGTATTTCTCTGTGTGTGCCTCTCTCTCCCCCCTATTTCCTGCTCCCTCTCTGTATCTCTCTCTGTGTCTATCTCTCTATCTCTCCCCCCTCTCTATTTTCTCTCTGTGTATCTCTCAGTATATATCTCTCTATGTCTCTCATTTTCCCCCTCCCTCTCTTCCCCTCTCTCTGTATCTTTCTATGTCTCTTTCCCCCTCTTCCCCCCTCTCTCTGTATCTCTCTCTGTGTATATCTCACCCTCCCTCTTTCTCTCCCCCTCTCTTTATCTCTTTCTCTCTGCCTCTTTCTCTCCCTCTTTCTCCTCCCTCTCTGTGTCTCTATCTCTGTCTATCTCTGTCTATCTCCCTATCTCTCCCCCTCTCTATCTCCCTCTCTCTCTCTTCCCCTGTCTCTGTCTCTTCCCTCCCCCGTCTATCTCCCCCTCTGTATCTCTCTTTGTGTCTCTCCCCTCCCTCTCTCAACCCCCCTTCTCTATATCTCTGTGTGTGTGTCTATCTCCCTCCCTCCCCCATCTCTCTGTATCTCTGTGTATGTTTGTATGTCTCTCTTCCCCTATCTTCCCCCCCCTCTCTCTCTCACTCTCACTCTCTCTCTCTGTATCTCTTCCCCCCCACCCCGATTCTGATATGAGGCATTAGGCAGACCATGAGGCACTCTCGCAGTGTCTTGGTGCAGCACAGTGAACTTTAGGACACTTCACAATGGGGATATGGGGGTCCCCTCCTCCTCCTGGAGTCCATTATGACATGGAAACAAAATGCAACCCTGCCCCACTCACCCCTAGCAAGAGAATGTGGCTTACATCTCCAAGCTGAAGCAGTGGGAGGTGAGGGCTGCCTTGCCTGCACAAAGGCAAATAAAGGGCCACCTTACTTCTACACAAAAGCTCCAACTATCACTTTGCTGTGTCCCCCCCCACAGCTCTTCAGTCAAGTGCCATGGGCGCGAGCTCCAGCCTGAAGCAGCAGGAGGTGAAGGCTGTTTGAGCACAAATGTGGTGTGAAGGAAAGTACAGGGCCATTTTGCTTCTGCACAAAGGCTCCAGAGACCCTCCTCCTCCTCCTCCTCTCACAACCCCCTGGCTGATTGTGGCAGGGCCCGGAGGGTGCACATGAGTGGGGAGCCCCTCCTCAAGTGAGCAGCTTGGCTCAGCCAAAGCACAGCAAAGGTGCACACGGGGTAGGCAGCTGCTCACTTGAGGAGGGTCTCTCTGCTCGTATACACTCTCCAGTCCCCACCACAGCTGGCCCGGGAGTCATGAAAGAAGGAGGGGGAGGAGGGGGAGGAGGGAAGCCTCTACCATGACTCACACTCGTTCCTCAGCCAGGCCAGGTTTCCAAAAAGAAGAAAGAAAAGGAGTAGCAAAGAGCCCCAAGGAGAGCTCAGAGAGAGACAGAGAGAGAGAGAGATGAGGGGAGGAAGGGAGGGAGGGAGGGAGGGAGGGAGAGAGAGAGAGAGAGAGATGCACACACAGAGAGACATAGATAGAGACATAGAGAGAGGGGGAGACCGGGTAACGGGTCTCTGGCTTTTTCCGAGCCTGACCCCCGGAGTGGGCCTGCGAGGTTCGGTGGGGCCATCCCCCTTTTCCTCCTGCCCTGAGCTTCTTAAGGCCGCAGTTGGGCGCTGCAGGCCCATTCCCCTTTCCATCGTCCTGTCCTCCTGGATCCCATTCCCACCCGACCAGCCTCGTGTTAGCGAGGCCGGTGTCGGTCATGGCTGGGTTGGGCCAGTGTCTCATGGTAGAGAGCAGGTTGTGCATCTCCCAAATTGACCGAGGCACACCCAGAACCAACAAGTGTTGGAAGAATCTCCAGCAAGAGTGAGGTGTCGGAGAATCGACCTTGGCCATTTCTCCATCCCTGGCGGATACTCTTACCTTCTCAGGCCAGGCAAGGAGTGACTGGGAAGGGAGGGCGAGGTGCGGGGCCAGCCAGTGATTGGACAGGGAGCTGCAGCAGAGGGCCCAAAGATCTGCATGTGGCTCTGGAGCTGCAGGTTGCCGACACCCAGACTAGTTGATTCAAAGTCTGCCTGGGCAATCATCAACCCTGTGCCTGAATTACTGTTATTCCTGCCATGCTCAGTATCAGCATTTCTGCATTTTGGCAGTCTGGGATGAATCTTGTCTTTCAGCTTCCTGGCTGACTGGGACCTTCAGATGGACACAGACTTTGGTTCTTCATATTAGCTTTTATTAGCTTTTCTTAAGCTTTTATTGTTAGATCATAGCAATGTATCAGAGCATAAAGTGCACCAAAGCAAAATAAATAAGATGGTAAAGAAAGAATGTTAGAGAGAAGGGAAATTAAACCAGGGATACAATTAAATACATTTTAAAAATTCTAAGTTTAAATTTTATTTTTTAATTTATTTTTATCATACTTATATGGCGCCCTTCTCCCAAAGGACTTGGGGTGGCTCACAACAATAAAACAACAAGACAGTAAAATGAATACTAAAATAATCCAATTAAAATCCCTGACAATTAAAACTAAAACCCCCAACAGATCAGATTTGTTGAAAAAGCCACATCTTCAAGTCATCGCGGAAAGAGCAGAGGTCGGGGACATTCCAGAGCCCAGTGGGTAACTCGTTCCAGAGGGTCGGTGCAGCAACAGAGAACGCCCTCATCCTGGGCACCAACAGGCGACATTGTCTGGCCGATGGCATCTGGAGGAGGGCAGTCCTATGTAAGCGCACTGGGCGGTGAGAGGTTGGTAGGAGGTGGTCCTGAAAGTTCCCTGGGCCCATGCCATGAAGGGCTTTATAGGTAAGGGCCAGCATCTTGAAGTGGATCCGAAGGACCACCGGCAACCAGTGCAGCTCGCGCAGGAGAGGTGTAACACGGGAGTAATGGGAAGCTCCCGTAACAACCCGCGCGGCCACATTCTGGACCAGCTGGAGCCTCTGGGTGCACCACAAGGGCAGCCCCATGTGGAGGGCATTGCAGTAGTCCAGACGAGAGATAACGAGAGCATGAGTGACTGTACGGAGGGCATCCCTATCTAGGAAAGGTCACAACTGGCGCACCAGGTGAACCTGCACAAAAGCCCCCCTGGTCACGGCCATCAGGTGGTCAACTAAGGACAGCTACAAATCCAGGAGGATGTCAAGATTGCGAACCCTTTTTAGAAATGAGATCTTACAAGCCTCCTACAAAAACAAGTTGCAAGTGGCAGGACAAGAAGTGGCAGTATTCAAAGAAATACCACCTAAAATGTTGAAATCCAAGAAAGAGTTTGCATTTCTGGCAGATGAACTTAGAAATCGACAGATACAATACAGATGGGAAGTTCCAGTCGGATTAGTGGTGAATTATGCAGGAGAGCAATATCGCCTTAATACAATTTGGAAAGCAAGAGATTTCTACACTAACATACTAAAGGCTAGATACCCACCATCTGGAGTTAAAAAAATAAGAGATGTAACAGAGGGGAGGAAAGAGGATCTGCAGAAGCAAGCAGAAGGTGGAGCTATGAGTATGCAGGATGAAGCACTGCAACTTTCAAGTGCTGTCCAAGCATGGGATATAGTTGAAAAACAAGTAGAAGTTAAAGATCAAAGACAAACCAGAGCAGTTACTAAACATAAAGAACAAGAATTAAAAATGTTACAAGTGCAGGCTTTATTACAAGAAAATGTGAATACTGGTACAGAAGCTGTGGGAGGGGCAAGACCGAAAAAGAAATTCCAAGAGGATTACCAAGCGGCTCTTGCCAAGCTTCGAGATTCTGAAGATGGCTTCTAGGTTTTTAACCTGGAATGTCAATGGTTTAAATTCATCACAAAAAAGGAAGAAAATATTTCACCATCTGAGACAATTTAAAAATGATATAATATGCCTGCAGGAAACACATATAAGGATAACTGATCAAAAATATTTAATAAATGCAAAATTAGGAACACATTTTGTTGCGTCTGCCCCGGAAAAAAAGAATGGAATAGTGATCTATCTGAAAAGAGACTTGACAGCTAAATTAGTTGAAGCAGATCAACAAGGAAGATATTTGGCAATTGAGTTACTGATAGAAGGGAAAAAGACACTTTTAATGGGGATATATGCACCCAACCAACAACAAGAAAAGTTTTATAAGTTGATACATACAAAATTATTATACTGGGACTATAATTCATGCATACTGATGGGGGATTGGAATGGAGTAATACACCCCAATATTGATAAGAAAAGACTTTTACAATCTACTAAATTGCGAGCGAGACTGCCTAAATCTTTTTTCGATATGATGGAGGATATGGAATTAAGAGATATTTGGCGTGAACG